ATGGCAAATGCAAGACAACTCAGCAACAGCAAACAACCCAAAGTTTGTGGATTCTTCTCAATCAAAAAGAACAAAAAGAACAAAAAGCGAAGTACCCGACGGGCTTCAAGGACCGACCGCGGTTCGAACGCGGGGCCTAGAGATAGGTTGCTACGGGAAGCTGCAATCTCTCGCTCTACCACTGAGCTATCGATCCAGGTGGATGAGATTAGTCATCCGAATCGCTGGTTTACTCGCAGCCATTCCCAGCTCATGGAGAGTGAGCACGTAGAAGCGAGAGGGGAAACGAGTGGAAATTTCATAGGTTACAGTTCAAGTTGGTCACGAACGTGGGGCGGACCCTGGTGAATGTACTTGTACCATGTTATGTACTTGAAGAACGTATCCGTACAGCACAAAAGAGATAAGAAGAATGAATACACGTGGTATCCATAGCACAGTTCACAAGATGGCAATCCATGATGATGTTGTATTCGGCTTCACTTTTGCTCTTGCTATTGCAGCTCGAGCACACATGCAATCAGTAGTACCGATCCAGGCCGGAGCTCCTGGGTTGATAGTGACATGCACATGGCCTGTGCACCGCTCATTGGGAGTATTTACAGTAGCCCGAGCGTTCCCGCCAATTTCTCCATTTTCAAAGTCAGAAGCACGTATGCCATCGACATGGCGTAACGTCTTCGCACATGCTCTTCATGCCGACCATAGACGACAATCATGAACCAAGACGTAGACAGGTCGCGGGCCTGTCGCAAAAGGCTGCATCATCTGTAACACCAGCGCGCAGATGACCAGAACGCAAAATATCACAATCGTCCCAGTTCCTAGCATCGAGTTATTTGAGATCCAAAGTTGACAGGCGTTACTCTCTTCACGTGCCCGGTCAAGGGTTCTCAGTGTTGTCGAAGCTACAGACCGGCTTTTCTTGTCAATTTCGGCAAGCACGAGAACTGTCAACGCTGAAAGTGCCATAATCCTCGATACGATGGACGAATTATGCGGGTGTTGGAGCCTAGCTGGCGGGAGATCATCCCCGAAAATCCTGCCACTTGGATGCCGCGAATAGCTTCCAAGCTGGTAACTGTGGTACTCATGTCCCAACTGGATCTCACACAGCCTGTTGAACTCTTCCGCTTCCGATGGCTGACTGAAGGGATTCGGCGATGCTGCTTCTCCCCATCTACTCGGAGCTTTAGTGTCATGCCATAGTGTTTGGTACGACCACGGACGTCTCTGACATCGTTGCATTTCGTTTCAAGACTGTCTGTCGGTTGGACGAATTGTGTGGTCGATGCTTGTTCGATTTGGCTTGGATTTGCGAGTCCGCTTGGATTTGGACGCCAACATGGAGACCAGTACCGGCATCTTAAGTCAAGCAGTCCACAGTAAATCAGAACTCATGATGATACGAATTAAAAGGGGACCATTGCCTATCTGAAGATGAGAGCAGTCGGTTGAACCCGGTGGAAGCTTCAAGGTAAGTCGTTGCCAGGCGGGTCCCAGGCGACCACTAGAAGAGTATGCCCTGCAGTCCTCCTGTTTATGAGCAGCAATCTTGTTGTTGTTGGGAGGGAACTTCAATCGAAAGAGAAAGACACAGACATGAGTTTGAGCGATGCCTTAGCTTTACCTTTGGGATGAAAAGCGCACTGCCAAAGATTCTCCGGTTGTGACTGCGACGACAACGAACCCCTGTCCATGGTCTTGTACGGCGCCATCATATTGTCTCAACGACACTCGCGGCTTTGTCTCCCAGAACAACGAGCTACAAAATTTCGATTAACATCATTGCCAAGAATTAAGAGACGAGCGGCCATTCTTCTGGAAAGCCCAGGGCGATAAATTATACCACCGAAGCGTTGAGTCGCAATGGTGGCAGTCACAATCAGGCCGTTTCACTCCGCGAACAACCCCAAGATCCTCCCTCCACACGCAGGCAGCATCTCTCGGCCCAAAATGGGCCCTTCGGCTATTGCAGTTCTCGGATGAAGGGCGTCCAGAGCGGAGGATCCACAGTGAGGCTCAACGACATGTCGTTCCCGTCCGGGCATTCGTAGAAAAGGGTTGCCAGGTCCCCATCACAGACCCCGGCCACGGGAATAGCACTCGTATGCATCTCTCCCGCCAACGCCTTGCTTGATTTTTTCTTTCTTTCCACCTTGCACCCTGGCTGGAGCCCTTCCCGGCGGAAAGATCCCGACGCTTGTCCTTATCTGCCAGGGGGCTAAAGTTATGACGCGACTGTGATTTGCTCGGGATGCTTGGGCCTCGAACCGGTCTGGAATTCAGGCTGCTGGCGGTTGGGACAAGTCACAAAATTGTGGTTTCTTCTTGCCACTGATTTCCGAGTTTTTTCTCGCCCTAAACTTCATCGCCGAGCCTTCGCGACCTTTCGATCACCCTCTTTTCTTTTCGAGGGCGAGAATGCTCGAGGAGGTGGTACGTACCGACGGGCTCAACGCTCGATCGGCCGGATGATCCGCAACATGCGCCGGGACGCATCAACAACGGCGACTGAGTCGCATCTGCAACACCATGCCGCAACGTCGCGCCCAGCAAAACGAAACTCCAGCAGGGACGCCATCGGAATAGGAACGAGTTCTAGCGGAGAAAAAATCGTTGTTTCCATGGCGGTCTGGCTCCACAGTCGTATGTCGAAATGTAGGAACAGTAGAAGAAAAGCGGGCACTAACATTGCGAGGCTTCTCCGACGCACTCCCGAGACAATGTGATGCGATTAGCGAAGGTGACTAAACAAGTACGTACCGGCCGTTTGCCCTTATTGGGGACCGTCTACCTTGAGATTCTTGTGACTGACAAGTACCGCAGGCCTGGCTTTTCTCCTGTTTGTTTTCTCGTCGGTTCTTGCGACTTGGGAATCGTGGGTGACCGTGAACTCAAGTGAGCCGGAGACCGTGCCGAAGGATTCGAGCAGAACAGCGCCGGCTCTACCATCTGAAAGATAACAGAACCGACAATGTGGCCGAACTTGTGCGCCGGCGGCGGCAGCTAGACAAAAGCTGAAGGCTAGGCAAGCGCCCAGTCGAGATTTCTGTACGTTGTACATACACACTTATCTAGGCTTTGAGCTTTGCGAGCACAAACCGGGCCGGGTAAGCTTCACATGCAGTCATGGCTACACGACCAAGGGGTCCCACAAACACCGTTCTCCTTGACCATGGCTCGGCGCCGCTGCGGTGTCGTCTCGGGGGATGCTTTTTCTTGAGGGTATAAATCTTCATCGGCCCCCCCTTTCCGAGGAACCTGTATCCGCTTCCGCTTGTCTCCATTCACCAGTCTGTTTCTTGCCTTCCGCCGAGAGGCCTTCACGTTTTGCATTTAAGGGGTCATCGTTCGACCTTTGCCAGTCCAGTCGACTTCTACCTATACCCACAGCATATATCTAGAGCCTGGATTCGGTCCACTGGTCCCTTGATCCCTTGCCATTCACTTGACTTTGACGTCTTTGTTGTCCCGTCTGCTCACCACCAATCCTCACCCACTTCACGATGTCTTCCGATCAACAACAACAAAAGCCTCTCAGCTGGTGGAAGCGCCACTGCACTCCTCCGCCAGCCCTCAACCGCACTCCTCAATGCCCATGCTCTGCCTGCTGGAACGGCAACGGTGAGCACTGGAAGACGACGGCCCCACAGACTGCGACTTCGACCATGACGACGGCTCCTCAACCCAAAGAAACCCGAACAGCCACTCTCCGAAGAGAAACGGAAACCGACCTGACGCCCCTCCGTCGCGAAGAGACCTCCTCGACCACCAACCTCAGCGTGTACTCCCAAGAAAGCAGGACTAGCTCCGTCTCGCTCACCAACATTCACCGCTTCGTTCGGGGGAAGGAAATCGTCTAACTGAGGGGTGGTAATTCAGCCGTGGCTTGCACCGACATCCAGGGCCACGTACACTCCCACCGAGGGGAAGGAAGCTTGGCGTCCATGACGTCCAGACCGGTCTTTTCTTCTCCTCGCTCCTCTCACCTCGACACGGGGCGGTCTTCTTCATTTCGGGCAGGTTGGATGGGAGAAAGGGAAATGGGAATGGGCAAAACCCCCTCAGAAATCCTGCGTGACCCCGGAGTGCCAAGAAGCTGACTCTACTTAAGAGTCTCTGGGCGCAGGATCACGACAGGTTGGACCAGCCAATTTTAGGGTTTGAGATGCAGATAAGGGGTCCTTGGGTTGCAGTCGTTGGACGGTTTGGGAACGCGCCGGCGGGCGCCGCAGCTTTTCTTTGGGCGCCGCCGCGGGGAAACTGTCCCGTTGGGTTGGTGCGAAGTCGTAATCCTGGGGAAGCGAGGATGCGATAGGGAGGGGGTTAGCTTCTTGCGCGCGTGGTTGGCGCGGCGCTGGGCCACACAGCTGGGGTTGGGAAAGTTTGGGGGAAAGTTGGGGTATTGACAGGCCTAGACCGGGGGCGTTTGGTTCCCGCATGTCAGCCAGTCAGGCGGGACAAGCAGGTCAGCTCGACTTTCTTGTTTGCCATGGCTGGTGTCGGTTGGCGGGAATCGTGACCCGTGAATACGCGATGCGTCGAGACATACCTCGAGACGGGTGAATGCGCGGCACAGCAATTCGGGAGCCTTTTGGTGTTTAGGATGAATAATAGATAGAGCTGGGTAAGGTGTTCCAGTTCGCTTGAAGATACCGTTTGATAGCCTCTTTTTGAATTCACGATAGAAAACCAACATATTGTGAAGCATCATGTCTCAGTTGCTCTCGTGATAAGCTCAGATGACCACCACACATGCCTTGTCCGGAGCAAACCGGCCCCATCACGGCGCCGCTTATCGGAGCGGCAGACCCACCTGCATGACGGGGCCGATTCCACATGTCCTGGCGGGAATAAGCACCGCATGAGGTGCCAGCTGCTTCAGATGGTGCAACAGACCTAGCTATGGAAAAGCAACCATTGGAATTGACCAAAATAGTATCAAACTCCATCAGTAGCATCTAATGGAATTTACTTCCTGCAAAAACGAAACACCAAGGACCGACCGCGGTTCGAACGCGGGGCCTAGAGATAACTGCTGCTTGTTACTGCAATCTCTCGCTCTACCACTGAGCTATCGATCCAAGTGGTTGTAGAACCTGGAAAATACAGAGTGCAGGAGAGCTCATGACTCGATGGAATGGGGACACGGTGGTAAGAACGATGACACTCGTGGACAGTTGGGGTCTGTGGGGCTGAGTGACATGCGGCCCACCCAGTGTGGAGGCCGCTGTGTTCTACGGATACGTCACTTACAGCTCATCCAATGTCTGGCTTGGGAGGGTGGCAGGACAGCTAGCTGTATGCTTAAGTCGAGTGCATCTCTTGGACGACACTCTTCAACTTGACATCTCAGGGCTTTAATCTTCGCCAAAGTCTTCAATATGGCTCCAAACGTGGACCCGGCTGTTATTGAAGCTCTGCAACTCGACCCGGAGCAGACCAAAATTGCGTCGCACGGAGGATCTGGGTTTGCGTCCTCTTTCAAGCTCACGTCAGTCGTTGATGGTCAGCCCACTAAATTCTTCGTCAAGACTGGCAGTGGTAAGGAGGCGGAGGTCATGTTCACCGGTGAGTTTGACTCACTCTCGGAGTCGTTCCGTTTGGTTTGTGTCGACACGTCTCCTGACACATGACAGGTGAGCATGAGTCGCTGAATGCCATTCACGATGCCGTCCCCAACTTCTGCCCCAAGTCACATGCGCACGGAAAGTATCAGTCGTCACCTGGTACGCACTTCATGGTCACCGATTTTCTGGACCTTGGTTCTTCAGCCTCGGGCGGTTCTGGACTGTCTCTGGCCTCAAAACTGGCCAAAATGCACACAACCCCGGCGCCAATCCCAGAGGACTATGATAAGCCCATGTACGGCTTCCCCGTGACCACATGTTGCGGCTCGACGCCCCAAGACAACTCGTGGAAAGAGTCATGGGCCGAGTTCTATGCTGGGAACAGACTGCGAAGCATTCTGCGCGCTGGCATCCAGAATAATGGCACGGACGGGGAGCTGTCCAAAGCCGTGGAGACGGTAGCGAGCAGGGTCGTACCGCGGCTGATCGGCGACGACCACGTTAAAGGGATGAAGCCGGTGTTAATCCACGGCGATCTTTGGAGTGGGAACCATAGCTGGGGGCAGATTGCCGGCAAGGGCGGTGCGGAAGAGGTTGTCTACGATTCGTCGGCTGTGTACGGCCACTCTGAGTATGAGCTTGGCATCATGAGGATGTTTGGCGGTTTCGGCAGCAGCTTCTGGAACGAGTACAACAAGCTGGTCCCAAAGGCGGAGCCCAAAGACGAATGGGAGGATAGAGTTGCGTTGTACGAGCTGTAAGTGTCCTTCCCTTGCGTTGCCTGGTCAACTATCCGTCTGACAGTAGGTACTTGCAGATATCACCATCTCAACCATTATGCCATGTTTGGCGGAGGCTATCGAAGCGGGGCAATGGGTATCATGAAGAAGCTGATTTCGAAGTACGGTTGACGGCCCATATGTAATTACTTTGCCGCAGGATCGAAATCGAAGGGTTGTTAAGCTGAATTGAAGGACCATTCCACATTAAAACCGGCCCGCGCCGCCGTTGAGAACCTAGGATGTTCGCTAGCGGACACCAAAGTTAGTTCCAGGGACGCACAGCGCATCTTGATGGATAGCGCTTTTTCTGCAATTCTCGGGCCATGCTCCGGTCGAAGGTCTTTTTTTGACACTGATCGACCTGTCAAACAATGGCGAGTAAATGTCTGTGGTGTCGTCATGCCGTCTGATGTTTTTGGGTGATTTTCCCGCAGCGATAGGGGGAGCTAGAATTCACATGCCAGGGGTTGCCCTGAGACCGAGCCTAATTTGGCTTCTGGTTGGGGCATCTTGGGGAAAAGGCTCACGGACCATGTATTCATCCGGCGCATTCGCACTGCTGGGAAAGCAAGATTGACTAACCTGTGGACGGCCCATGGCCCATGGCCAGCCCATGGCAGGGGAATTTGATCACAAGGGTTGATCTGGTCACTTCCCATTTCCGTTGCCAACACCGATAGCCACCTCCGCTGGACCTTTCGCCCCTTGCTGCAATTCTGCACCCACGACGCCTGGCCTTTTTTCTATTTTTATTTGGGAGGAACGACAATGTCCATATAGAACACACACGCACGCTCTTCGTCGCTCCCTTTTAGATTTTTGCCTCATACGTTGCCGCAACCATGAACGGCCACTTCGCTGCTGTCGGCGATGAGCCGGACGCTCAAAATTACGAGCATGGCATCCAAGTCATTGACGACCAGAAAGACTTCAAGTACGATTCTCAGCCTCCGCTCCCGCGAGAACATGCCGAACAGCAGCTAACCTCTGCACTTGCAGTGTCGCGGTCAACAAATACCTCCAAAAAGTCCACGTCGCCGAGGCAGGGTTCAACTACCACCTCATCTCCGTCTTCGGCTCCCAGTCCACCGGAAAGTCGACGCTGCTGAACAACCTGTTTGGTACCGACTTCTCCGTCATGTCCGAGACGATGCGACAGCAAACCACCAAGGGTATCTGGATGTCCAAGAACAAGAAGGAGTCATCCGGCATGGCCGAGAACATTCTCGTGATGGACGTGGAGGGAACCGACGGTCGCGAGCGTGGCGAGGACCAGGACTTCGAGAGGAAGAGCGCCCTGTTCGCCTTGGCTACGAGTGAGGTCCTCATCGTGAACCTCTGGGAGACCCAAGTCGGTTTGTATAACGGTGCGAATATGGGTCTGCTGAAGACCGTCTTCGAGGTCAACCTGCAGCTCTTCCTCAAGGACAAGCAGTAAGTCGAATGTGCGGTGCAGTTAGACCGCCACTTGCTGACACGCCACCACAGGTCGAGTCTCAGATCCCTGCTCTTCTTCGTCATTCGAGACCACCTCGGCACGACCCCTCTCGCGAACCTGCGCAACACCCTGATCCAAGACCTGACCAAGATTTGGACGTCTATTTCCAAGCCCCAGGGTCTTGAGAATTCCCGCATCGAGGACTACTTTGACTTTGCCTTCGCCGCCCTCCCCCACAAGATTCTCCAGGCCGATAAGTTCACGACTGAGATTCAGAACCTGGGGAAGAGGTTCGTTGCGGGGCACCGATCGGGTGGATCCACAAGTCAGGAGTTTGAAGGCGGTGTGTTCCTGCCCGAGTACCACCGCCGCATTCCCGCCGACGGATTCTCGATTTACGCCGAGGGTATCTGGGACCAGATTGTCAACAACAAGGACCTGGACTTGCCAACACAGCAAGAGCTTCTTGCTCAGTTCCGCTGCGACGAAATCTCCCGAGAGGTTCTGATTGGTTTTGACAATGCTGTTGTGCCATTGGAGGAGAAGCAGACCGAGTCTACAAGGCTTGGAAAGCCCGCCGTGTTGGCAGAGCTTGGTGTTACTGGCCGTGAGTCCCGCGAGAAGTGCCTGAAGGCATTCGAGATCCAAGCCAGCCGATACCACAAGGGCGTCTACACGCGCAAGCGCCAAGACTTGGAGGGCAAGATTGACGCCAGGCTTAAGACGCTATACAACGCACAGCTGACTGCTGCACACAAGTCGGGTATTGCTTCGTTCAGTGATGCTGTTTCGGGTGCTGTCAAGGCTGGCCAGAAGTCCGGTGCCGCCTATGAGTTCGCCGAGATCGTCACCGAGGAGAAGAAGAAGACTCTTGAGTTCTTCCAGACCGAAGCCGAAAGTCTCGCCATTCCGGGTGTCGCGTGGTCTAACTTTAAGTCGCAATACGTGTTGTTCGAGAAGGAGCTTGATGATGTGAGCGGCAAGCTGCGCAAGGAGGAGATGCGTCGGTTGGCCACGAGGGTCGAGAGATGGGTCAAGTCCCGATTGGGCGACGCCATTGGGCTGGAGTTCAACAAGTTGGGCTCCGGTAGGGCTGGTTCTGGCGCCCCCGAGACTGGTGAAAAACCGACCGAGAAGGATCTCTGGGATCGTATCTGGACCGTGTTCGTCGACATTGTCAAGGATGCCCAGGGCAGGTTTACTGAGCGTGCCAAGAGTTTCGAGGCTACGCAAGAGGAGGTTGACATTGGCCTCTGGCGCCTGAGGCGCAAGAGTTGGGTGGCTCTGCGTGAGAAGATTGAGGAGGAAGTGATGGAGGGCAATATCCTGTTGAAGTTGAGGGAAAACTTTGAGGATAAGTTCAGATACGACGAGGCTGGTGTCCCTCGGATCTGGCGACCCACAGACGACATCGAGGGCATCTACACCAAGGCGCGAGAGTCTACGTTGACTCTCATCCCTCTGCTGTCGAAATTCAAGTTGTCAGAATCTCTCAGCTCCCCGGACCTGCCCGCCTGGATTGGCGGACAGCCTCGCGGCGTTGAAGCTAGCGACGAGGAGGACCTGACTCCAATTGGTGGTGTTGACGAAGAGGACGGCAAGAGCCTTGAGGAGGAGATGACGGTGCTTAGCGAGAGTAAGCGCCAAGACCTTGTCATTCGCTTCAAGAAGACGGCAGATGGCGTCTACGTCGAGGCCAAGCGCAGCGCCATTGGCGGTGTCGCTCAAGTACCTCTGTATTTCTACGCTCTCCTCGTTGCCCTGGGATGGAACGAGATTGTTGCCGGTAAGTGGCTTGAGAGCTTTTTCATTGACAACGCTAACGTAAGACAGTCCTGCGCAACCCGTTCCTTTTCATTTTCCTCATCTTGCTGGCTGGAGGCACTTATGTCGCCTACACGCTGAACATGCTGGGCCCCATGTATCAGATGGCCAATGCGGCGGCAAACCAGGGTGTTGAGATTGGCAAGCAGAAGTTGAGAGAGTTCATCGAGAACTCAGACACTGCCCGACAGGCGCTGGCCATGCCCTCCCGGGCCGACAGCTCCATCAGTATGGACACTTTGGACAGTCGGGGCAAGAAGAAGAGCTCGGAGGATGATATTGATGACATCTAGATTTTACGCATGAAGCTGGAATGAAGCTGCGGTCCAGACGCCGGCCACCACAAAGAGCGCGAATAGGAGCAAAGGATATAATGTCTATAAGATACGTTGTAGTATCCTGTCAAATTTCCCATGGTGATCCCAGATGATATACAAACGCCCAACGCCTCTTACCCGACCTTTGTTACA